CACCACCACCACTCCAACCCCACCAGAAAATAGTCCCACCACAAAACCATGATCTGGGCCCTCCAGCCTCCAGGTGTCATGCTCTTAGGACATGAGCAATTGTCCCCCATCGATAGGAAGGAAGAAGAGCAAGGCCTGAACCTTGCTAGTGGCCCCAACGTTCAGGCGCCATCAGTTGATACCCCCACCAGATCCAGACATCAACACAACTTAGACACCATTCAATTTCAAGTCACTGCTCATACGAGATTCAAAGTTACTAATCCAAATTATTGAAAGGAAAAGCTGTATTCCTTGGAAAATGATATCATACGACATTTGCTTTCTCAACTATCAAGTTACACTCTACAACATATTCATATTCATATTTATTTATCGAAAAGTTAATATGGTACTAGATAATACTTGGCCATCTACCAGTTGATAAACAAATTCTCTCCCTCTCATTGAAATCTCTCTTGATTTCTTTGCGTGCAATACAATACGTAAGTGCATATAGCATGTTTTCTTACTTTGGTAATACAAGTTAACAATCAATTTAGCACAAAACAAATACACTAAAAATAAAATAGAAAACAGAAAATGGCACCACATTAGGTTCTTAGAAAACTACAATTTTAGTGTGCTATCAACAGATGGGGCCCGATTAAATATTTATAATAGCAATGGGATAATAGCATAGAAAAGAAAATGGGCCTACCAATCTATCTGTTAAATGAATTTACACACGGGATTAAATATTTGAAAGTTTATACCATGGTAACTCACAAAATTACTGCTAACAGTGTCTGGGGAAATGGCAAAGATAGATACCCGCAATATATCAGCAGCACATTTGCTTTTCAAGTCTATATGCAGGAACACAAACGTAGACACGCATATGCCAAAGTTTCCCGCATATCACCAATTTAGGAAGACATGACAAGTAAAATATACAATCTTGGTGACTCATCTGTAAGAGACATTGAAACATACTTTGAGCGCAAAATCGATGAGTAGTTCACTTAGTTTTAAGTTAACGTTCGCCGGTTGAAAGACTCCACAGTTAGGTTGGCAGTGAAAGCTGGGATTGAATTTAACTTCCGAATAAATATCTCAACCTGCAAAATGATATCTTACATGAGTTGACCAATAAGAGGTCCAGGTAGCCCAGTTCAATACCAGCACCATGTTGATAGAGTAAACATAGGCCCTGAAAAACATCCGACCCTTTTGAACCCCATATCGATCCAATGGACAACTCATAATGCTTTAGAGAGCAACGTTTCTTCAGAAATTATTTCCACAAAAGAAATACGACTATAGGGTCACTGCAAACTATTTTATTGTTGCAATGCTAATATATTCATTTTCCAATCTACTGTTAATTCCCCACCTAACCCCCAAAACAAAGGGCATGAAAGAAAGCAAGAGCACAAATAAAAGAAAAAGGGGAAATCAACAACTACTGTTTAGAACTAAGAGAATCACAGCTCACATAGCCATTTGTCACATCCTGTGAATCATGAACATAAAAGCATTTGAGCTTCCTAATGGAATTCTCAATCTAAAAATCTGGCATAGGCTAGATCATATAAAGCAATAGAAGCATATAAAATACTTTTTAAGGAAAATTTGCACAAAAACCACCTATACTATAACTGGTGCTTTTTTTTTTTTTTTTCCCTCCCAAACTCTACTTTCAGTGCTAATTACCACCTCCATCCAATTCTGCCGAAAATATCTATTAACTCAACGGCAATTTATTCAATTCCTTTATAATTAAAAAGTCAGAAATAAAATATTTCTAAACTTATAATAATAATAACAATAATTCAGCATCACATCTGGCCTCACCCTCCCCCATCAGTTACCCATGGTGGCAGCCCATTCCCCACCACCACTAGCTATGGCTTTAGGTTGAAAACCCAGGATCACTCTCCTATGCCTTTCATTCCACACCCCACCACCTTCCCTCGTTGTTACTCCTCCATGAAAACCCATAACCCCGAAACACATTCTTTTCTAAGAAGAACACATCGCCTCTCACTCTCAACAGTGAAAACAAAGTTACTTTGCGTAGACTATCTTGTGGTATGTTCTCCCTAGAAATGCTTATTTACTTCAGCACTGCAAATTATCCATTATGTGTTAGTTTTTTTTTAAATCCCTGATTAATATTATTTATTTTATAATTAATGTGTTTTTACTCCTTAAAAGTAGTAATGATTTTATGGGGTCATTTGTATTTCCAAATTCTTATCTGGTTGGTGAGAAAATGGAGGAGAACAAAAGAATTAGGGACATTTCAATTTGATTTCGGGGATTAACCTCTGTTTAAGGAAATTGGAAAGCGTGGAATTTTCTTTTCATTTGGCTTAGTTTGAAAGCAAAGTTGGGATTTAGAGTTTTATTTTATTTGCCTCTTATCAGCATGGAGGCATCTGATAGAAGCAATGTAACTAAAGTAAGAAGGGGTGATGAAAATGTGGTTGAGATGTGTATATATGAAGGAAGAAGAAAGGTCCATGAAAAATGTGGGTGTTTTGTATGGAAGATAAGGCTATTCTTTTTCTTTTTAATTAAAGGGACAAAACTTTGTGAATGGGTGTCCAAAAGTTTTTTGGGTGTGTTTAGAACTATTTAATATATATTTGGATGGAATTGGATTCACACTAAAACTGAAGTTTGGGTGATTAATTGTCGAAAAAGAAAGGGTGACAAACGAACACATCCCTAATATTTCACAAGGTGTTTGTGCAAATTTCCCAGCAGAAAAAAAGAAAATACAACTTCTAAGAATTGTAGAAAAACATCATGATCCATACCTGATGAGATATCTCAGGATGCGAGGTATAATCATTTGCCTGTTAAATAAAAATAACACAATTAGTAAATTCTGTCCTCTCATTTGTTATGTTACTAACTCAAATACAACAATAAAGGTCAAGTCATAGATGTGGCTGTTGTTCCATTCCCATTGAAATCTGAAGGAGTAAAGTACTATTCAAAATGAGCTCATTCTTGACAGCCTGAGAAAATGAATTTTTATAAAATGCTGTCTTACCAAAATATTTGTGCTCCCTGATTCATATTCAAATTCAAGTTTCTCATCATCACTTTGAGCATATATAGATTGGAGGGTAAAACGTGTAACAGGGATTCCATTGGGACGCTGGTGTTCATCCATTACAATCTGCCAAAATTGGAATAAAAAGATAAGCATTACACATTAAACTTTAGCATCAGAGAAGCTTTTAGCATGTTAACATGAAGACAGTGCATGAAAATGTACTTCTATTAGTTATCTTTGTGAGTGAATCTATGCTCAATTATAAATTCTAGAACAAGCAGTCCACTTGAGGTACAATCATAACCTTTAACAGCCAAATAATTACTAAAACACATCAAAAATACAAAACATAAATATCTCAACTAGCATCCGAATCTGCATAAGAAAAGAAAGATGGTACATCTCTAAACTCTTTTAGATACCAATGCCCACAAAGATAACTAACATACTACGACGCCACAAGACTTTCACCGTTCCCTCTACCAAAAGCATAATGTTCCTCATAAATAAAGATAGACATGAATCCTGGATCCCACAACTCAACCTTACCCCCCACGAAATAGATTATTCCATATTCCCTATGCAATTAAGCAGTGGAGAAGAGTCTCAAGTCGAGACTCAACTTCCTCTTTGCACATGACACAAAACATTGCACCTCCTTAAAATATTATCATAAGTATCAACTATTTAATGAGCAATTATCCAAGCAACACTTGTACTTCACAAAGTAATTCAACCTTCCAAATCATCTCGGATGGTAGAAATTAGAAGAAATGTTTCATCAATCAACTAATAAGAATAGTAAATCACAAGAATGTACTTGAATTCCAATTTTCAAAGAATGTAATTTGAAAGGATAGGATACTATACTTTTTCAAACATCGATATCAAGGAATAAAGCTCACCAAATTCAAGATGTTAACTTCTATGGAAATTGAAATTCCAACCCAATGGAATCAAAGAGGAAACAATCAAATTAGAAATTGACACAACGTGGGCAGATGACAACCCACAGGGATGCAGGAATAATAATCACAAAGAAAACCCTCTGCTCCACTTATCATCCCAAAATCTGATACTCATTCACCACAGCTAAACGAAGATTATAACCTTGTGACATTTTCTTCTGAAAGGCATAAACGTGAACCTCTAACCACCACATTTGAGTTTCATCTACGAGAATGCAGGCCACATTTACCACAGATACATACTGCAAAAACTTCTTCAGAAAATCCAAATTATTTTTGTACCAAATTACACCCCACGCCTTCCTTCTCTCCAGATCTTGACACCATTTCGTATCTTACCTACTACTGGTGCATCTTCTTTTCTGCCTTTCTTAGCTTCTAAATCCTTTTAGCTACTTTCTTGGAATTCAGGAAAAAAAAACCGCATAGTAAGTTGGCAAACAACCTGATCTGATTGCACTAAACTAAGTCCACTATCTAAATGCCCCTTTCCACTCATCTACCATTCTTTCCCACTTTTTCCATAATGAAATCCAATCAATCAATTGCTAAAGGATTTAATCATTTTCCTCACTAGATTGATGAGAGATAGATCCATAGAAAATAAGAACGGTAGAAAAGTATTCTCACCCTTTATCACAGATTTAAAGGGGAAGATGCTACTCCAGTATAACACAAACACCCACTGTATCATTGTTCTCTTCCTTGATAACCTTGGAGTAGCATATAAATGGCAGACTATATTATTTTGTGCACAAGAACGAAACATTAACAATGGCCTAGGAATGATATATTTTAGACCAACATTTTTGTGGAATAATATATTTTAGACCAATATTTTTGTGGAATGACATATTTTAGAAAATATTTTAGCCACAAAAATATTGGTCATGATCTCAACTCTCTTATGGTCTCAAAAGAGATAATATTATCCTTTTCTATCAATGTTAATGTAAATAGAAGCCACTTAGTAAATCAAATCAGCATGTCTGATGAACATAAACAAAATCGATTTGCTATATGCTTGAGCCTTAGTGTTAGGAAAGGATAGAAATATGAACTTTTAGCCTCTAATAAAAATTAACCAAAAAACGATCTTGGTTGAACAACACAATGAAATACCTCAATACATAAGTTTTTTCCTAAGCATTGACATTTAGTACCTTTGGAAAAATATAGAATACATATACACTTGTGGCATACTAATACCTATGCATCCAACAATTGAAGGTAAGGTATTGTTCTGTGGCTTAAATAAATCAGTTTCACACACTCGCTGGTAGAGATATACGAAGACAAATGCATCTTACACACAATATAAGATTTTTTTCAACTCATACTCTGAAACCAGATATTTGTTTCAAATTGTTTTTAAATTGGGAAATAGGAAACCTTTTACTATCTCTATAAGTACTTCATTAGTTTTCATATACCATCTCTACATATTTTGTAATTGCAATTTCTTACTATAATGATTACTGTGTTAACTGGAAAACTAGTCATATGAAAATATAAGGAACAATGAGCAACGCATATTGTATACCTTGTAACCAAAAAGCTCACAGCATGCCCTCCTGAACACTGAAATTCTGTCAGCAAAAACAGTTTTGTACCTGTTTCATGGACATATTCAAATGTTCAACCAAAAGGCAGTGTTGTAGTTTACATGAAATTGTGAACAAATGATGCATAAGATTTTTTTACAAAAAGAAATACATATTGGTCTCCTAAAAGCTTAAGTTAATAGGCAATTATGCATTAACTATATCAAGCATAAGAGACAAACAGTCCCCCACATAGTAGGCCCGCCCAATAACCTAAATCACATCCAATCTTCTTACACTTGAAGGAAAAAAAATTAACCAAAATGGGGAACTTCAACTTTGGAGCACAATATGCTATGCTTTTATAAAACTTAAGCTAAAGAAAAGGGGGCAACAATGGATATCAAGGTTCATACATATTAACAATATCCATCAGTCACTCACCTTTCCTCGCGTTTTTCAAGAGTTGCAATTTGTTCTTTCAACTGCACTATCTTCTCAGATATGTAGGAATCCACTAATTTACCAGCATCACCTGAATGAAGTAATGGAAATAAACTCATTAAGTAATTGCATTACTAAAACAAATTAAACATCAGACTTTGAAAATTAAAAGAAAACAATATAGAAAGTTTCTAATTACCATGCAAGTTATACCTCAAAGTTCCTAACCATGTGCTTCTTACCTGATTGACTTCTCAGTTCTTCAACAGCCTGTAACTTCTCCTTTGTCTTCTGTAACTCAGTTCGTAATGCCTCTATAGTTTGTTTTGCTTCATTATCAACCGTAAGAGTATTCACCATTCGTAAAACTTTAGTATTTGCAGCAGAGAAATCACCATGACCCAACTGTGGAAGCAAAAGATAATAAAATTACATAATCGCATTGCATGTGGCTGTTTGTAAGAAAAATAAGATAATCCTGATAATTGGGAAATCAATAATGCTCCAAACAATTTTGGCACCCACCTTGGACTCCAGCAGAGCAATCTCTGAACCAAGTCGATCGCTCTCCCTCTCCAATGACTTTATTCTTCTAGCTTCATTGTTTAATCTCTCATTAAGCAATTTTATTTCTTCACGTTGACGACTATTAACTTCTTTTTGTTCACATAGACCACATTCCAATTCTTTAATATAGCACTCTTTCTTTGCAAGAGATGATTCAAGCTCCTGCATGTGCAAACCAGGAAACCAACAATGAACTTAAGGAGAAATTCCAGAAATAAGAAATAGTACAGAAAGAAGAAACTATATAACCTGAAGAAAAGTTTGATTGGATGTTTCATGTCCCGCTTCATCATTCTTTGCCAACTTAAGTTCATTGACGACATTTCTCAACTTATCTCTTTCCTCAGTAACCATAGAGAGCTGCAATTTACCACAATTTCTTCATCACAAATTATTACAAGATAATGGTATTTTTCTTTCAAACTTCCTTTTGGGACTGATTATATGAAAAGTTTTAGTATCAAAGCTTTCAGAACTGATGAATATTCTTGAAAAGTTTAGTATCAAAAGGCTTATGTCTGACCTTGCAAGTGGTTAAACACCTGAGAAACATTGATCTTATACTGAATTTTCAACTTATATTCATTAAGTTACAATGCATTTGCTTCATAGGATTGTTAAGACTCAAAATACGCTCAAATAATAGTTATCTCGCATGCTATAACAATATTGTATAGATTACTAAAATTAAATATCCAAAATCACTCCATGTGAACGGATGCTAAAACAATGTATCCATGAAAATGAGAATGTTAGACGACAGAAAGATGCACGGTCCACGCCTGACACCTCCATTTAGAGTCTGATAGATGCAGGGTGCAAGAAAGTTTGTATTTTAGGCATAAGCATGAGCATATCAATTTGGTTTATTCTTTTTATTTTTATAATTGAAATATAGGTAATAATTATTTATTTCTTTTAATGAATAATAATTTACAGTCTAATTATTACAGTTTCCTATTATATGAGGCTATTTTCCTTCAATAATTCATGAGATGCATGTATAAAAAGGCCTACCATCAATTCAATCCGGTTAACCTCTGATTTTGATGCATCAACCTTCTCCTTGGCCAGGGCAGCCTCAGTTTCAGCATTTTGTTTATCAATTTGTGCAGCATCCAGAGAGACCTCCACTTGTTTCAAGCGGGCATTTGCCAGACCCACCTTCATCATGCTATCAATTACCTCTCTGCATTAGATGGGAAAATCTCAATCATTGGAAGTTGAAAAAATAAACTTCTTCGATGTTCAGGCTGCGAAAAGCACAACAAATATCAGACAAATAAATAACAAGTAAAAAAGCTCTTTTGCATAGCACAGTGGGGGGAGATAAGGTGGGGAAGATAACAGCAGAACATATCGATAAACTAAAAAGTACAAATAAAGGCTGTAGAAAAACTTGAAACCCTCATTAATACATCAAACATGACTAGAACAAAAGAATATTTAAAAATAAATAAAACCCTGAGTCCTGAAGCCCCAAAAAGAAATAAAGATATACAAAGTTGACACAGACAGGATCCTTCTGAACCATCTTCAACTGCTTCAAACACGAAATAAATATGCATGGTGTCATAAGGGTGAAAACCAGACTACCAGAAGTCTAGAAATGATTCGAAAATTTCTGGGCACTGAAATTAAGCACATGCTAACAACTAGAATTACTGATGTGGTACCAGATATGCAGAATTAATCACCAAATAAAGAAGTCACACTATGCATGCCTTATAAATAAATATAAAAAATATAAAAAAAAGAAGCAACAAGTAAAGTTTCAGTGTTGAAGATTTATGAAATTATTTATTCTTCTAACTGATCCAGGGAAGCTGGCTCAAAATACTGACATGAGCAACTCACATACTTTTGCAAAGCTGCAAATTTAACAGGTATATCTTCAGAACATGATACGCCTGGAATGTCTTTCAGCATCAACTTCCAAGATGTCAATTCATCCTCCAAAGTCTTCATACTTGGCTGCAACTCTTGTAGCTTGGATAACTCTGACTCTACCCTCTCTCTGCGGCTCTTTTCTTCCAACAATTTTTCCTTCAATAACTCAACATTTTCATGAGAAGATTTCAGCTTTCTTGCTTCCCTCACTTCAGCATCCTAGTAAAAATTCACCGAACAAACAATCAGATAGTCATAAGAGGAATGAGTTTCATGAAACAACAAAACGATCAGTAGAACACAGCATACGTTAAATCTGTATCATGAGATACTTATTTCAGACTCAAAGGTCAAGACCCAAACTACATTGTGCTACATCAGTTTTGTTTCTGAGCAAAAAGTCTACCCTCTTGCAGCAAGGTTCTTCTTTTTATTGTGTGTAATGAGCATGGCCCAATACTACTAAAATAAACTCAACGTAGGTACAATTGGCCACCAATTAAATGACACGTAGAATTAATAACAGGACCACCAAAAAGAAAAATGATCCTCATATTCCTGTGGCATAGAGCCTGATTTTTGCGCATCCCTTTAGGCATCAGTGTTCAGAGTTTAGGTACAGTTCTTTTCAAGCTATTTTTTTTTAGGGTTGGAGGGTTCCTGTGCTTATCTTGTTATTCTTGCTGTTTTGATGTAATAACTATGACGATTCTATGAGCAGCACTTAAAATAAAAATAGGGAGGCACTCAAACAATGCAGCATGAACCTTAATATGCATGCCTAAACAGGATAATAAGTGAAAAATAGAAAATGTATAATTGATAAAAAAGAAAGTAAAGGAGTCTATTATGAAAAACCATGAATATGTACATGTGTGCGTATTCATGCAGAAAGGCATATAAATCAGGCAAAGTGCATTCTAGCTTTACAAATATTATTCGATAGACAGGAAAGATCAAGATTGTAAACTTACATAGTTTCTTAGTTCTTCTTGCAGATGTTTAACCAAAATATCATCCGTAGATTTAACTTCTTGTAATGTGGAACTTGATAGTTTCTTTTCTACTTCACTCTTCTGTTGCACACACTGGAAAATAAAGATGATGTAGTATTTAAAAGATAAAATTGATCAACTCATGGTACTATAAGTTCTTTATATTAAACAAGAAGACAAGTCAATCTTAATGCCAAGCAGAAAACCTTTCATCCTATTGGCATTGCAAAGGGACAGGATATGATATCTATATGAGAAGATTTTTCACAGAACATATCAACTGGTCTCCAAGAGGCAAAGGCAAATAAGAGATACATACCTCACTAAGTTGCTCCTTAAGATCATCCAGCTGCTCTTGCAGTAGCTCTGATTCTTTCTCAGCATTATGAGCTCTGCATTCCATTCGTTCAAGCTAAACAAGAATGTGGAAGGTTGAATGAATGTTAATGTTCATATACAGACTTGACTCAATAAAAACCACCACTTACATCGGCAGTTATTCTAGCAACAGAAAGCTCGGATTCTTTTTTCAGATGGGCAAGATCGTTATGGAGACGCTTTTTTTCCCTCTCTATGCTCTCAGAAAGATGGCTCAGTTTCCCCTCTAAACTACTCACTTTCCCCTCAGCCAAAGCTGCTGAAGACTCAGCTTTCATGCGAAGGTTCATCTCGTTTTGGAGCTTCACCTGAAATTTCAAATGCGATACGAAGAGTAGGGCAGGGAACAGTTTGGAATTCCAAATCGAAACAGAGAAGAAAAAAATATTCCGAGGAAGGGAAACTGATAGAGAAAGCAAATGAAACATTCTTTTGGGAAAATAGAAGAATTACATTCAACACATTACAGAAGAATTATAAGGTTGGTATATCTTTAAAGTTAGAGCACAAGATTTAAAATGAATAAAGTTAGGAACTTGATTTGGAGGTTTCACTCATGCTATGAGCCTATGAATACTACAATCAAACCACGAACAATTTTCTTTGGGCTTAATGGCATCCACACTTCTGTTGGTATAGGTGATTGTTGAGGTTATAGGCCTAAACTCAATTGTGTATGTGTGTAACCCAACCAAAAATAAATGGACTACAATTACAACTTTACTACAAATAAAACAGAAAGCAAGAGATGGAGAAAGAAAGAAAGAAAGAAAATTAGTTTACAATCTCCAACTAATGTGGGATAATAAAAATAACAAATTTGTTTTACCAGCTTTATAGATGTTACTAATTATATATAAGCATTTAGGCATTGAGGAAATGTTGGGGTAACAATAGTTATTCTTTCTGATTAATAAATTAGAGGTATCAAATTATCTGAGTTTCATTAGTGGGTATCCCTTGAGCTCATGATGTTTAACACGAGACAAAAGTTCTCGTTCTCCTTAATCAACGCATGATGTGTTTGAACTTTGCTCCTGCATTAATACATCTTTTATAAAGGTTTAAACATATACCTCAAGTTCACTGTACGACTGTAATTGTTTAGTCAATCTTTCATGAGAATCGTGGACCTCCTTCAAAAGCTGCTCCTGCAGAGCCTGTTCACGTCCCTTTGCAGCAGCAAGTTCTTGTTCTGCATATAAGAATTGATCCAGAAATTTCTTCCTCTCAGATTCTGCAACACAAATAATTAATCAGGGGGCATAAACTTAAAATGGATAATCCAAAGAAAATTTTAACCTAGTTATGCTAGCAAAAAGCAAATGAACCTCGTTATACTCACAATAAAGAAAATGATGACCAAATATATGTTAAAGACTTTTGATTTAAATGAAAAGAAAAAATTATCTTGCAGCAGGGTACAGCAGTTGCAAACAAGAAAGAAATTATCTTGCTCCAGTATTGTTTATGATTTTCAGATTTTGTAATTTGGGGTAATATTGAATTTTAACATAAAGGGCACACTTCACAACACAAATCCGAGGCAAGCTCATCTGGTTTTAGGTTCAAGTTACTAGGAATTTAAATTCATTTAAAAGATACAGGCATTTTTATTTGTTGTCTAATCCAGCCCATCATCTGGTTTTCTCGAGTCTAAATTTGGTCATACATGACTAAATATTGACTATCCTATTCCCAGTAAGAAAAGAAAGATTCAAAAGTGTAAATATTCATTACACTCAAAAGAAACAAAACTTTGAGAAGGGAATTGAAAAGATTTTGTTGGTTTACCACTACTCACAAATGCTTAAGATGTTAGGATGTGGGTCAACTATTATTTTTATATTCCAACTCTCCTCATGTGTGGATCTCTTCACCACTAGATAGCCCCACAGGTGGAATTCAGCACTTTGGAGGTTGCAATCTCAGTAATTTGAACACAAGATCTCCACTCTGATACCAAGATAAAATTATGTTGATTTCCGTTGTTTCCAAAAATAAACCACCCTTTTTTCCTTCCATTCTTCTTTCAAAGCCTAAGTTGTTTTACAAAGCCTGAACTTCTGCCTCTGCAACCATAGTCCACTACACCACATGTTTATTTTGCTAAACGAAACTCACCACATAAGAAAATTTCAGCTAAGTTATCTGGGTATATCCTATTAAGAAGAATATACCCTGCCCTAGATAAGATGAACCAAAATTCCCTAACTTTGTCATTGTTTGGGAAAAAACAACAATATACAGTTCCCATATCACCGTATTACATCCTTAGATAATCCAATCAAGGAAAGATATAATATTTTAGAATATTTGTGCAACAATAACGGTGTGCTTGGAATAAAAATTTGCAATAACAATTCAGCCTGCAAGAATAAATAGGATTTGTACCAAACAGATTTACAGCATCAAACTGTGAGAACCATAAGTACAAAAACTTTGGGAAAACTGAAGAAATAAAAACGATGGTAAGCAATGTATTGGAACATCTTATTCAAAAACGCACCAACTTTGCAGAAGTTGTTATTTAATGCCTCCAACCTAGATTGATAATCCGAAACTTGCTTCTCCGCATTGCTGAAGGCATCTATAAAATCTGATTTAACCTGTGACAAATGGAGGAAAAGGTTCTTCTTACCCATAAACATACATTCAAAAGGAATACATACAATGCATAAAGGTCTACAAGCAAAAGAAAAAGAAAACATTGATGATCATGCAAAATCCATATAGACAACGACCTCCAGGCAAACAATTTGAAGTGTAAATGAGGGCAGACCAACATATATCTTATAAAAACACATTGGCGATAAAACTAGAGGCAAGAAATTCTAAATGGTCCAATTCAAAATACGATTGTCAACATATACCAGAGTTAGCTGCCAGAATGAAGTCCAGTTACGGAAAAATTCAACGAATGAATTACATCATAATTCATCAACAAACAAACAATGATGATATGATTGATATCTATCTAATGAAGGATTGAATAGGGAAGGTGTGCACAGTCCACAGTCCACCCATCACATAATCGTGAAGAAGAAAGCATTCACTTCAGGGAGAGAACATGCAAAACCCATCAGCCACTTTGATAATCAATGGAATATTAAATTTAGAGAGAGAGAGAGAGAGAGAGAGGAACCATTTGACGGCATTGGTAGGTGCATAGCAAGTGGTGGGAGGAGTCGGTGGGTGGAAGGGAAGAAGGAGGAGGGTCGTCCTCGTAGATGACGAGAGGGCCTGGGCCAGCAGGCGGTGGGCTCTCCATCTCCGTCGCCCGTTGCTTCTTCGCTGGGGGAGTTCTCACTATCATCTTCTCCAACCTATCCCAAACCTAACCTAACCTAGGCAGCAGCTCTCTCTCTTTCTCTCTGTTGTACGAAACAGGAGAACAAAAGAAGCGAAGTGGTGGGTGGGTGTGGCCTAATTTAAACGCAAGGGCGCCATTTCTAAAGGCTTTCCGTCGTCCACCTCTTCTCTTTCTCCCCTTTGCAGAGAAAAGAAAGTACCCTCCAACCCAAATTACAGTGCCACGCAGTTTTTTACAAATATATTTACAAGCTTGTCAAATGAGTAAGGTCACTTACCATATTTATATCTTTCATTTCTATATGACATGACGTGGCATGTCGATATTATATGTCACATCTCTATTTATCTACTATTATAAAGCGAGGCAAAAATTGGACAGAAACACCCTTGAAACATAAAAAACCAAAAGCTAATGAGAACTTTATATTTAGAGTTCGGATGGGTATTTTCATAATATCATTAGTTTTGTTGATGGTGATCATTATATCCATGTATGGATTTATTTGTTTTTATTTACAGTTTATTTTTATATGATATGTGTATATTAATGAATTCTTGTTTTGTAGGTTAATTTGTCTTCAGATAATCATATTCCACTAGTTTCTAGGATGTGGTATGAACAAAGTGACATATGCAATGTAACACATTTGTACTTGAGGTACCAAATGTATGTGGATGAGTTTAAATAACTTCCGGGAATGGAAAATATAGCTACTACGGATACAGTGATCCTAATGACTGAAGAAAATTCAACCACAACGGAATTGAGATTATAAATCTATGACACTTGAAGCTTTCCTAGTCTTATTGTTTTTGGATAATCCAAATTTGATATTGAAGATATCTTTTTTGGAGGAACAACACTAAATGCATCATGATCATTCGGTAGGTAGCTACGGAATGCATCATTATCATTTGGTATGTAGATACTAAAATCTTCAATAAGAACTTAGTAAACATGCTGACATTTCTAATACAACCAAAGTACCATGAGTTCTAATACAAATATGCAAAAAATCCTTAAAACAACCAAAGTACCATGAGTTCTAATACAAATATGCTGACAATTCAGTTATCCATGATGACGTTGATATGTCATAGTAGACTATATGTTTGTACCCTCTAAAATTCGCCGCAAGCTCTCAATTTCTTGATAAATGTGGGCAGGTTGTGTACGCAATGCATCTGTTTGCCTTAATACCATGATTGGCTTAGTAATGAACAACATACACTCATCACGCTTTTGTAATGAATATGTATTCAATGCCTTAGTAAAAATAACAAAATTGAAGAAGTGAAAGTGAGAACAAATTTATAATTTCACATGATAGTATGAACTTTACATTAAGGAAGATGGGTCAAATGTAGCTCTACATCCTGAACCTTTGTAGTATCCTCGGAGTGGTCTAGGAGACCATGTTGAGGTTGCTCTTCTTGAGGGGCTAACCTCTCCACTCTATGTCTTCTAGTTGAGGCTGTGAGACAATCTCTATCAAGTCGAGATGATGCAACCTCAGTACTACCTCTATGAGTCCTCTTCATATATGAAAAACAATATTAAGTATAAAATCATTAACAAATTCAGTATACTACCATTGAAAAACTGGGACGAATTCAGTATACTACCATGGAAAAACAAAATAATTTCAGTGGTATCCCACTGAAAGTTACAACTATTTTCGTAAGACCAGGTTCGAACCCATATATACATTTTCAACAAAATCACAACCCTGAATACATTTATATACTCTAAAACACATCCAATTTATAAAGTATCACTCATAAACATAACATTACAAATCAAAATTGAAGGCTAACCTTGTGTTCTTCATGACCTGGGATTGGTGGTGTCGTTCTTCAAGACCTAGGATTAGTGGAGTCGTTCTTCACCGCAATTGCGATATGGAGTTATGATCTTGGTGTTTCAGAGGAGATATGCAATAGAAGCGATGACCTTTTGGTGTAGTGTCGTTTGCAGATTTCATGAGGTTTAGGAATACATACTTGATGGGGTTTTCAAACATGTGGGGGTAAAATAGATACACACGTGATATACCCCAAATTTTATTATTAAGTTATTTCAATAATAATTGATGGGGTGTGAATATAAAAGGTTTGTGATGAGTTTAGGTTAGTGAGGGTAGTTTAGGAAGAAATAATGGGTGTAGAGAGTAATTTAAATTTCACTAAAACATTAGGGGGGTGTAAAAAGTATGTGGGGTCATATTTCTAAACATGTCTTACCATATATCATGGGTTGGGTCAAGTTAGTGGTGTCAATAGTCACGTTTGATTTTTATACTTACAGGGGCTAGTGTGTCTAGCCGTTTAGAGAATTTGCAATTGTGGAACAGTGTTTATTTAGGCAAAATAAGAAAACTAAATAATCATATGAGGGTTGCATCCTATCCTAGAGAAAAGTACTTAGTTATAAGATCATGGAAATAGTCACAAGAAAAGACATGAAAGAAAATAGGGACATTTTGGAAAAGACCAAAGGAGAAAGAAATATTTTGAAAAGAAGCCAAAATGGACAAAAATGGCCTTATTTATTTTTTGATTTCCTAAAGAATCCTTTACATTTACATGTCTTTGATTTGAAAGTTGAGGGGTTTTTCTGTCCTTTTTGGAAATTTTTTGGTTTTTTCCAAAAGTGAAAGTTTTTTTGTGGCTAAAATCTAAATTTACTTAGAAAATAATAGAACCCGTAATAATGGATATGTTAGTGTGCCTAAAATGATGATATTATAGTTAGTGTCCATTTGGTTGGTGTGTTTTGTTTTGCTATTAAGAGAATTTGTAATTTTGCAAGGTGTTTATTTATGCTAATGGTATCATCACCATCATCTCCATCTTATTCTTTATTTCATTCCCCTCTTTGGCCCCACCCATGAGAACCTCATTCCCTTCCCTCCCTTTAACAACCCCAACTTATTGACACTCAACATTCCTACATTGTCAAACTTGAACATCCTTACACTATCATACTCCAATTTAGTGCACACATTTTCATTAACATTAACGATACATGTAATGATGATTTAGGCGATGGTGTGATCTCCTCATCCTCCCCTGATCTTCCTTACACTACTAAACCCCAATGTAAGGCATAAATTATGAGCAATGATGATAAAAAAAAAGATGATATTATAGTTCGTGTCCATGATGATGAAGACCTTGTTGGGTATCATGATGATTGAGGTATGAAGCTGAGACTGAATTCGAGGTTGGAGCCAGAGCTCAGAATCCTAGGTGAGAATGAAGGTTTGGATGAACAAAATGAAGTAATGGTCATCCCTTTTATCTATATATTCATAATTCTTTCAAATATATGGTGATTTAATAACTTTATTGGCATGAGATAGATTACCTATCTTCACATTCCCACAAACCTTTTTGGTACTCCTTAGTCACCGAGTATTGTACAAGTCCATGTCTTTGGAGCTCATCATTTATGGAAGCCAAAATGTAACACTTGGCCTTACATATCCTGAGATGCATTCTCTCCAAGAGGCATAAGGGCATAGGTAGTCTTCATTACATGAGCAATCTTCTTGATAGTAAGAAATATCTTAAAATTGTGGTACCAACATGGAAAGTTATGGCCCTTTAGACATTATTTATCTAGGATCTTGGTGAATGCAATTCCAGACATATGTACAATTACATAGCTAGGTGTTGGATTGTTTTTAAAACTATTGACTAGAGTATTTAAGTCAAATAGCACCTCCCATGATTTTTAGCAAATTACACGTCCCTCATGATTGAATCCGAGAGTTTTGGTTAAAACTCTTAGTGGGATGGGAGACTCCCTATTAACTTGTTTACCACACCATAATAAGATCTATGGAATCTCATATAATAAAGAGAGGGTGCTTTTGCCCATTCACATCTTGATATGATTACTCATATGATTCAACATCTAGCAAATGTGTACCCCAGAATAATATCGTGAACCACTATTATACTAGTTAAGTCTTAGTCCACCATGCTTGCTTGTATAGGTATTCATGTATGAACTCATCATAATAGAATATTGGTTATACTCGTTGCCTACCTTCACAACATCAAATGTATGAAATGAACCCCCTCTAATATGAATCCTTCACTTTGGGTATCTAAGTGCAAGCCCAGTGCGTTGGTCACACTTAATAAGAGTCCATTATGGTTGAAGGTTATGCAAGTATATTTATAGTATTCTTCATTTACTAACTTAATGTTAAAATTTGATTGAGGGAGTTTTGGTCTCATCATTCATTCACATTTTAAACAAGTAAAATTAACTTATCTTAGGACCACCATTACTTCATTAGCCATATTAATAGTTGCATTATAATCTCATTCTTATGATTAAAAAAATATAGTTTTATTTGAAATTGGAAATATGTATTACTATTAATGAAACGCTTTGCATCCATTAAATATTGATAAATAGTTATCTATATGCTCTATGGTTTATTATGAACGTATGAATTTTGATCTAACATTGAGCCAAGATGTCGAATCTAAGTCTAGGAAGTTGACTTAGGATAGGACTCGCTCCTTCACATACGTGCATTTTTGAGTGGGCTCCAGCCCAGTAAATGCTCATTCAAACCCAAATCCAAATTTGGACCGGTACTAATACTATTGCCAAACCCAAAATTGACTTTGTCCTATTCCGAGTCAAAAGCCCCAAACCTTTTGCATTGGATTGGAGTATTGATTAATGAATTAGAATATAATATAATAGTAGCCAGCGAGGCAGCCAGACACCACCTTAAAAACTAAAAAAGAGAGAATTAATAATTTAATAGTGATTAAAAATGAACAATATAAAAAGGAAGGTTGAATTAAAAGGTTGAAAGCGAAGGGATGGGATGGGAGACACGAGGGGTAAGCTGTAGGGATTTCAGGGTACGAATGGGATCGCTGTTCGCTCCCCCCACTCGCTTCCCCTACCTCCCTCCTCCTTTTTTTATTATTTCATTTCCACCACACCCACATTTTCATTGTTTATATATAATAATATTATTATTACAATGTACAAGAGGAGAGAGAGAGAGAGAGTGCGCATTACGCACTCACCCACTGGAACACTCAACAACACCCAACTTTTCTGAATCTTGTTGAGTTCTCTCTCAACAACAGTCATCAGTCTCTCTCTCTCTCTCTCTCTCTCTCTCTCTCTCTCTCTCTGTGTCTGTCTCAGGCTGTAGCTTGTTCCTTTCTCTGTCTAAACTAAACTAGAGAAAACTTTTAAAATTAAAAACACTAAATTGCAAATTTACTATTTAAAATATTATTAAAATAAAAGACACAGCCAAAGGGAGTGAGAAGAAAGAGAGGAGAAAAGAGGTGGTGTCGGCTTCGACCAAACACGACCTTAATCTTATCATCCACCGATCCCAATCCCAAATCGATCCTCTCAAAACCCTAATTAACTTATTCCAGTTTTCGATTCATTCCGCCGGCTCATTTCTCTCAGCTGATCAGCTCTGAGGTACACTCTGCTCACGAAACCTTTCTTTCAATGGTTAACTTTTCATGTTTTTTTTTGGGGGTTTTGTCCGTTTCTTACCCGGAACCGACATCTGTGAGAGATCAAGAGTTTCGGGCTCTTGTTTGGTTTGTGAGAAAATGGTGTAACTGAGGATATGAAATGCTTCAATTTTTCCTTACACGTTTTTTGTTTTGCGCAAATAGAAAAATACTGAATTTTTCTTGTTGGTTTACTTAGTAGTGGAAGATGGTTTTAAGTGGGTGTCAAACAAGTTACGCTTTAGGATCCAAAATATAGGAAAAGTTTTCAGTTTTTTTTTTCTTCTGGAAAGGTGGGAGCAATCTAACGAGACTCATGTTGGAAAATTTTGAATCCAAGAAAATGCGTTAGATCGTATGCGATCAAAGGCTTGAAGAAATTTGCTCCATTCCTGCTTTCCTCTCTTCAGTTCTCCAAAAAAGTGCATTTTGAAATTTACTTCACTGAAAAATTGCCCATGTTTACGCTAAGAAAGGTTGACGACCCCAAAAGGTTCTCCATTTACGCTTTATTGTTCACAGTTTGGCGCTAAAGCCTCAAATTCCAACCTTCTTTTTTTTGGTTGTTGCCATTTTTAAGGCACATAGCTGGTTCTGCTAACACAAAAAGTGGGTAAATTTTAAGGCTTTAATTATCAGGCGCTGAAGCTAGTTTTGCATTGATTATGGTTGATAATTAATGGTCTTTACTTAATGGGTTTCTCTTAGTTGGTGGCACTATTAATTGGGCAGTGTTGGTTGTCTTGTTTCTATACAAAAAACCTTTTAACACATGGGTTTCCACAGGAAAAGCTTCAGGGGTGTGAGAACATTTGTTTAGTTTTGCTATGACATTCTCAGCATCCAATCATCCCCAAGGCAGTTCCCGGATAGGTTTGAATTTCTCATTTACCAGAGCTTCTCACTATTCTGAAAATTATGTTTTGCTTGCTATTAGTACGTTATACTGAAGTGGAATGCGAAGTTATTGATTAACCTTGTCTCTTTTGGTTAATATAGTCTTTTACTTACTGAAAAAGAAGAAATTGTTGATTATCTTGGGTGTCTATATAAATCAACCTTAAGGATGCTTATGATAAAAGTGTTTGCTTGTGTAAATCATAAATGTTTGATATACATAAATTTTAAGTTTAGTTTGTTGATGGTGCATTAATGTGGAAACAAATTTTATTGAGGCTTTGGCTAAGATTTTTGTGAGTAATTATTTTATTGATGCTTTGACTGAAAATAGAGTCATTATTTTATTGATGCTTTTATGGAATTTTACCCTAAATATTTTCTAATTTTCTCGAGAAGTGTTAGATTCATCATTTGTCTTAACATTTTTAGTGATGGTCAGTCAATGAGCAGGAGTATATCAAGTTTGCTGAGAGAAGCCTAAATACTGCATCTAGTGGATAGTGATCTATGTAACAAGATATATCCAGGGAATTTCTGTAGTTTAAATTTGGGATGATTAGATAAAATCAGACCATTGTAATCATCTAATAACCCAAGGCAAAAAGAATGTAAAGAAAAACATTTATAGGATGCTGCGTGCTGTAACTTGTTTCCTGTTTTTGGGGTGTTCTTTCATTTTGTTAATGCTCATCTCTGAATTGAATGTTCTTACATCTTATAATTAAATAATTCTTATCAATATAGCATGTGGTCTCTAAGGGGCTGGAAAGAGTGAAATGCCTTTGTTGGACTGGGTTTATTTGATGTCTGTATTTTGGGTCTATAGTACTTCTTCCTTGTCTTGGAGAGGCTAAACTTCATTGATTATTGTTTATAGGGACGTCTGGTGATGCTTTGTATAAGGAACTATGGCATGCTTGTGCTGGACCCCTTGTCTCCCTTCCACGTGAAGGGGAGCGAGTCTATTACTTTCCACAGGGTCACATGGAACAGGTATGTCTGAGTTCTAAGTTTATATCACAGGTAGCTGTTCTGTTTTCATACTTAGCACTCAGGTTTATTGGTAATGTGGGTTGAATTGTGTAACTTCAAATCACTATTTTCTTAATAATGTCAGCAACCAGTTATGAATTTATATAATGGATTAGTTAATACGTAAACATGTGTAGTCTTTAAGAAGAAAAAGGACAAACCATGAATTAAAGATAGATATATAGTGAGCTCTCTTGGATAGGTCTGCGTGTTTGTCTTAAGGGTGCCATTTAGTTTGGCCTTGTTTGGCTTTTGGGGTCTGTTTTGAATTGATATAACGAGCTAATAACTTTTCTTTATATATATGTATATATTTTCCTAGTAGAAAAAAAAAGTTATCTGTAGCCTTTAAGAACAAATGAACAAACCATATGATGGAGATAGATATAGTGAGGTAATAACTTGTCTTTAGCTTATTTTGCAATAACTTGGTTACAATAGCTAATGTGAACTTACAGTCACATCTTAAGATCACGAACAGAAAGAAAGGATTATTGTAGCCTCAAATTATTTGAGCTTAGTTTAGGGACCTAATTTTGAGGCTACAATAATCCTTTCTTTCTTTTCATGATCTTAAGATGTGACTGTAAGTTTACATTAGCTAGTGTCAAACCTACTGCAACTTCTTTTTGTCCAGGCTTGGGACTGGTTTGAAAAGGAAATAGATCTTCTCCAAGGGGGCTTGCTAAATTGTAGCTTAAATGACTAGAAAGTTATAGTAGCTAGCCCACTTTTGAAGTATCTTCTCCAACCACGCTGACTATTTTAGCTAGTTATCAATTTTTTTTACTATTTTTTGAATTCAACATTTTGACTATATTAAAATATCCAATAGCTAGTCCCTAGGAACTACTTTCTCTCACCTCAAGTTTAGGACCTCGTAAACGTTGATCTATTTTAGGAACTAACGAGATAGCTAGCGTGGTTGGAGCACCTTCCTTTTTTATTTATATTTTTTAATAACACTTAAATAACACTTCTCCAAATTTTAACTAAGTTAGAGTGATTGCAAGTTTTGTATAATATATGTTATGTGGACTCGGTATGGTCTTGGATGTGACGTATGTATCCTAGAAGTGCTGGCAGTTTCGAAAGTGTTTCCATGAACTTGGAGTGCCTAAAGGGCATGTCCTTGTCCATGTCAAGTGAATTGCAAGGCCGTCTAACCTTTAACATACTTACCTTAGATGCTATACATCGTCTTTACGTGGGGTCTAGCTCTTGCTTGGTTTGTAGTCCAGCGCCACCTGTGTTTTGTTAGAACTCTAAACTTTTGTCCAGTGTAATGTTTGAAAGCTTTAGTCAAGCTTGCAACTCTCTTTGGTTTGGGTATTCTGGCATTTCTATAATTTGGTTTAGTGCATAATTTATATTACTTGCATTCCAGCTTTGTTTTCCTAATTTTTCTGTTTCTTTGCTATTCAATTTGTTACTTATATTTTTTAATTACTACTGAAAATCTTTCTATACAAATATTACATAATTGTTTTTGCTTACTTTTAACTGTATTGTATCCGACAACTGTATCACTATAAACTGATCTCGATAGTCTATTTCTCTGTTAATTTGCTCTGTGTTATTTCACTTGTATATATCTCACGTTTTGCATGTATGTTGCTTTATTGTAGCTTGAAGCATCAATGCATCAAGGGTCAGAGCAGCAAATGCCTTCATTCAATCTGCCATCCAAAATCCTGTGTAAAGTTGTTAATGTTCAGCTACGGGTGAGTGATATCACAAATTTTAGTTTGTAACAAATTAGAGTTTTCTTTTTTTTCTTTGTTGTGCATCAGTTCTTGGCTCAACTGTCTAGTTGTATGATTTGTACTTAACCTGAGTGTAGGCTGAACCTGAAACAGATGAAGTTTATGCACAAGTTACCCTCCTTCCAGAAGCAGATGTGAGTTCTCTCTCCCCAAATAATCATAACCTCCAGAAGTATTAACCAATTTCGATGAATTATGTTATTTATAATCGCAGTTTGTATCTAGAGTCATAATTGATTGCAAACCTTGCTTCTCCATTTTCCCCTTTCCCTTTTTGTCATGTTTGCCCTAATTTGATTCTTCTTCATGGATCAGCAAAGTGAGATAACAAGCCCAGATCCTCCACTGCCAGAAACTCCACGGTGTACAGTCCATTCATTTTGCAAGACACTTACTGCGTCTGACACAAGCACGCATGGTGGATTCTCTGTCCTTCGGAGGCATGCTGATGATTGTTTGCCACCACTGGTTAGAGTAGTTTCTTTATTTGTTTTCAGTTTCTACCTCATTCATACAATATGTTGGCATATCTTTATATTTCTTTTCTTATTTTTCTCCTGGAGTGGAGGTTGGCTCATTGCTCTATGCCTACCCTGATTTTCAATTTCTTTCAGGATATGTCCCAGCAGCCTCCGTGGCAAGAATTAGTTGCAGCTGATTTGCACGGAAATGAATGGCATTTTCGGCACATATTTCGAGGTTGGCTTTTAATTATTTATTTGAATGATTTATTGAATACGCTTATAAGAGTATCATTGTAACTGCTTTAGCTAGGAATCTTCATAAATTTGCATTTTATGCATCCAACAGTTTAATCAAGAAGGTTTCTTAATGTTCGGTTAACCATTTTACCTCAAAAGTCATAACCTTTGTCATTGGAGCAAGTCCAAGACACCTTTGTTTCGATGCCAGAATTTTTCGAGTCTCCCTCTCTTCATTCTGGAGTGATTCCAAGGAACTTTTGGTGTGATGTTAAAGTTCGGATATCCCCTTCTCCTTCTGCTTATGCTTTGTCCTAAATCACTTATTATGTATCTTTTGATAGAGCCACTTGAGAGGTTAGTTCTCTACAAGTTCTTTGCCATGGGAAATGCAATATCTCAAGAGGTTTTATGTGACTTTATCTCTCTTTTTTTTTTTATTGGTCTGCTTATCATAGATTTGGACTGGCTTGTCCTTAGTATTAGCTTTTTGGTTCAGCCTTCTTTATCTATTTTCTGTATTTATTTCCTCAACATCTTTTTGTCTTTCTAGTGTGCCCATTTGTTCAACATCTTTATCTATTTATTGTACTCATTTCTTCAACAAGACCATATATTTTCTCCTACTTTACTGTGAAAATCATGACTTTTAAATTCAGCATTATATTGTGGAATATTTGTATCCATATATTGGTTACGATGGCTGGCATCTTATGATGTTGCCTTTATTTTATGCTCTTTTCAGTTTGATAGTGGGCTCCTATGCTTATATTGTTATTACAATTTTCCTCTTCTAAAATAATCCAGGGCAACCTAGGCGGCACTTGCTCACAACTGGGTGGAGTGTTTTTGTTAGTTCTAAGAAATTAGTAGCTGGTGATGCCTTTATATTCCTCAGGCAAGTCTATAGTCAATGAAGAGGATTAATTAATTTTGCTCTTGTTACTTTATTGTTAAATCTGTGTGCTGTTTGCTTATATGTCATTTCACATGTATGTTCTAGAGGTGAAAAGGGAGAGCTGCGTGTTGGAGTAAGGAGACTCATGAGACAACCAAGCAACATGCCATCGTCTGTTATTTCTAGTCACAGCATGCATCTTGGAGTTCTAGCTACTGCTTCTCATGCTATTGCAACTGGGACACTATTTTCTGTCTTCTACAAGCCAAGGTATTGTCACTTTTGCTTTATTCATGGAGGCCAATGAGTAGTGTTCCCAATGTTCTTGTAACCTGATTATGTGTACTTTCTCTGACTATTTGATGTCTTATATATGGCACTGATTTTAAGTGTGAAAATGGTGGTTTGAATAAACATGTTTAGTAGGTATTGGTATCGACATAATCTACTCTTTTAGAGTACATATATATAATATATATATATATTATGAAACTTGTAGAGTACATTTTCGTTATTGGAAGAATGAGATATCTTTTAACAAGTTAATCGGGTTGTGCATTTCAAATTGTCAAGTTGTGTAGTTTGAAGCCTGCTTCCCCCCTGTTGGTCATTCTTTGTGTTTGTTCTATTACTCAAATCTATCCTGAAAAAAGAAAATATTGTGCTGGCCCTATTTGTCACAGAACAAGTCGATCTGAGTTCCTTGTAAGTGTCAACAAGTACCTTGAAGCTCACAGTCACAAACTCTCTGTTGGAATGAGGTTTAAGATGAGATTTGAGGGTGAGGAAGTTCCTGAAAGAAGGTATTTTTGTTCTGCTTGGTATCTTATGAAGGAAGTCATAGCATTCAGACCTAAGAAATTTTACTGCACTACAGGTTCAGTGGCACGATTGTTGGTGTTTGCGATAATACATCACCTGGATGGGCAAATTCTGAGTGGCGATCACTAAAGATATTTTTCCGTGGATGTTCCTAATTTGAGTTTTGAGTCAGTCCAATAAGATATTTTTCTGTGCATCTTGTTTTTTTTTTTGTTTTTTTTTTTTTTTTTTTTTTTTTCTAATTTAGAAATACTTTTCCAATGAGTAATGATATTATTTTTTCAGGTCCAATGGGATGAGCCCTCTTCAATATTGCGACCAGATAGAGTATCCCCGTGGGAATTGGAGCCATTGGTGGCAACTACTCCGCTAAACTCCCAACCTGCACTGAGGAACAAGCGGGCACGACCTCCTGTTTTACCTTCGCCGTCCCCAGATCTTTCGGCACTTGGTATGATTATTTTCATAGTGATGTGTGATTTGTAGTCTGACTTGGACTTTTTATTCTGATTTCCTTCATGGTCTTTGTGTACTAGGTGAGTGGAAATCCCAAGTTGAGTCTCCTTCAGCTTTCTCCTATAGCGACCCACAACGCGACCGAGACATTTATCCATCATCCAAGTATAATTCTGCTTCAAAAGCCAATTCTCTGTGTTTTACTGGGAATAATTCTTTGGCTGCTGTTTCTGGGAACTCAATGTTTTGGTCTAATCGAGTTGATGGTGTAACGGATTCTTTCTCACCTGTTACGAACAAAGATTCTGGGGAAAGGAGACAAGGCACTGGGAATGGATGTAGACTCTTCGGAATCCAGCTACTTGAAAACACTAATGTAGAGGAGTCTTCACCTGTGGTTATGGTGTCTGGGAAATTGGGGGATATTCGACCAATTTCATCATTAGATGCCGAATCTGACCAACATTCCGAACCATCAAATGTCAATCGATCTGATCTCCCTTCAGGAAGTTGTGATGCTGAGAAGTCGTGCCTGAGATCACCTCAGGAATCGCAAAGCAGGCAAATCCGGAGTTGCACCAAGGTAGTTCATGTCTTTTTATCCCTCAACCTAATAATATTTTCCAACCTTTTACTGGATTTGGTGCAATTTTGGTTCAGTATTCTATGGGCTTGTCAATATTGATGTCTACATTCAAATGCTTGTTTCTTTTAAAAAAAAAAATTAAGAATCAGGTCAGTTCTGTCCTTATTTGAGAGCTGTTATGTACAATTCTTTTTCTGTCGTGGTCCTTCCTTTTAGAATCTTAACGTTGTTTTTTCTCACGAAAAATTCTATTGGACTACACTCTGGTTTATGTCTCTTCATTCCTTTTTTGAGAAGTCATTGGGTCTTGGGTGTTGGTGGTGACTGTATGATCGATTGTTTTTTCATTTAAAAAAAAATTTGTCTTAGGTTCACATGCAAGGGATTGCTGTTGGACGAGCCGTAGATTTGACACGGTTTGAGCGGTATGAGGATCTGCTTAAGAAACTGGAAGAGATGTTTGATATTGAGGGTGAGCTCTGTGGATCTACGAAGAAATGGCAGGTTGTGTACACCGATGATGAGGATGACATGATGATGGTTGGGGATGATCCATGGCAGTAAGTTCATCTTACCAACCCTTGAATTCTTCATTTGAGTCTCACAGTTGAAGATTGACTGCTTAAGTGCTTCAATTGTATCTCATCTTAAATTCAAGAACTAAGAATACCTGTGGTCCTCTTTCGGACTCTTCTTAAAAGGAGCATAATGATTAGATGGTGTTGGGACAGTAGAACTGAAGATTCTTTTTTGTTTATTTTAAATTTCGGGTATCCATCCCATTTATGAACTTCCGCTAGAAGTAATTAGGTTAATGAATCTAAACTTCATGCCTTTGAATATTCATCCTGTAAAATCTATGTACTTTTGTTGCAGTGAGTTCTGCAGCATGGTAAGAAAGATTTTTATCTATACAATAGAGGAAGTCAAGAGGTTGTCACCCAAGATAAAACTTACACTCAATGAAGAGGTCAAACCAGGAAAGCCAGATTCTGAAGCAGCAGTCAACACCGAAGACCAGTCATCCATTGTGGGACCTGCATACTGATCTGCCCCCTTGTCTCTAGCTATATAATGAAAAATTGGAAAAAAAATTGGAAAATGGAACTTGATTGTCACATGAGATTCTGTCTGCTAGGATGATGCTATCTATGACAAAGTACACATGATGGAAGAATTGGTTGAGTTTCCCTGCATGCTGAAATGGAGGAGGGCAGTGGCCTGTAATGCACATGCAATCTGGAGTCACTGCTCGTGACAGGGTTTGGGTGTTATGGTTATTGGTTGTCTAGTTTTGCCAAGAGGATCTCATAGTGCTTACTTGTTTGGACCCAAATGGGCAACCAGAGTTTTTCTACTGTGTATGGCGGGGTACATGCTCTCCCCATCTTCATTTTCAGTTTTTTTTTTTTTTTTTTTTTTTTTTTTTTTTTTTTTTTTTTTTTGGTTTTGTTTTTATTTTCTCTTTGTGATACTTTGTCGAGACATGTTGCATCAAGCTTTTGTATATAAGTATATAGCCTTCCATTTCTTGCTTGCAAACAACTTGCGTCTAGTTTTTTTGTCGGGAAGAAGCTTTTGGGAGTTCAAAGCCTTGTCTGTGCTTCACGGATTCCTGTCACCTTGAGATGCTCATGCTACAGCTGATGATGCTGCATTTATGATTGTACATGCTGTTTGCCTATGCAGTGCTTCTTTGTTATACAAGTACAGGAATTTATAGTCTGCACATCTCTTTGTTTAGAGGAAAAGAAAATTGACCTTTTACTGTTAAGGCATGTCGATTCAGTCTAATTTTTCACTTACCTTATCCATGAAAAGTCAATGTACGGCAGACCTTGGTGTTTAAAGACTCAAAAAAAAAAAAAAACATAGAAAAAAGAAAAAGAAGAAGAAACTGGGAAACCAATTAAGTTGGCAGGGCGAGTACAAAGATAAATCATAAATGAGATGGGAGGGGCTGCTTGAGAAGAGGATTGGGGAATCAGTTCAAAATTATTAAACAAAAAGCAATTGGTTCCTAGTTTGTGGTTCACATAACTGTTATATACTATTTATATATTCTTAAAAATTAGATATGAACTCGAAACTCAAGAATTCATTAGGAACAATTTAGGTCCATTATTTTGTAGTTTATATAAATATTGTTATTAATAGACATGCTGATTAATGCTACACTTACCACATTTTTATCTCACATTTCTATACCGCATGATGTGGCATCAATTAAATGAATGAAGTGTATTTTAATAAATAAAATTAGAAAAACAGAAACTATTATTTTACATGGTGTGGTATGTACACATAAGCTGCCACATCATGTGGTATGAAATTGTGGTATAAAAATGTGGTAAGACTAGTATTATTCTTTTCGTAGTTAGGCTAGTTTGAATGCACAGTTTCATCTGCTCATTCAATTCAAGAAACAGAAAACAGAGTTGCAAGAAGTGGTGCACAATATTATCCCTCATTCTCTTCCCATTGTAGTAAGTTTTCAATCAAAATTTCAAGTCCAGCTTTATTTTGTGTTGTATCCTCTGGTGTTTATTATTTAAAAGTCCTCCTTGTGTTAAATGAACTAATATTTGCTTGTGGGGTTATAGATGTTTATAACTTTATATAAATATTTTAATTACTACAACTTAGATATTGTAAATTAAATTCAAAATGCAGACTAGCAAACTCAACAGTGCATACTAGAAACATTCAAGTAATGAGATGGATACATCAGGTTTATCCATTCAAACTAAACTATTTTAACGAGAAAAACTTACATGAAACAAATGTTATAAGGAACAGAATTTCCAACCTGCAAACATGCAGAACACACGGCATGTTGGCTAAGGCTTAGGAATAAAACTTCTGACTGCAAATGCTAAAACCTCTGATAGATAGTGTTATGGGTGGTCCAACTTCCATAAGTGCGTTGCTTATGCCTTGTAAGGGAACTTCAAAGGTTGCCGTTTGACAGCATGCACCGGTGTATACACAGACTATCTACCTCAACCTGATAAGATGAGACTCCAGAATATTGGGTGTTTCACTATTATGCCCAATATAGGGGCCCAAATAATAATAATAAAAACCCTACATGAAATGTACTTTAGAAACACATCCAAAAATCATTACAACTTAACAAAAAAAACACCCAAAACACTCAAAACAAAAGGGTAAAACTGGTTTGACGAAAAAAGAAGGGTAAAACTAGAAATTAGTATATTAAGTAAACTAAAAAATAAGACAAACGTGATATTGTCTCTAACTTAACCATTTGTTTAGACCACATGCGCAATCAATTTCACATTGGTCTACTTTTTTTTCTTTTTTTTTCTTCTTTCTTTTTTCATTCCATTTGGGGTTTGTTTGATTTTGGTTCAATTTGGGGGGTTTTTTTGTTTGATTTGGGTTTAATTGGGCCCAGTCAACAGACCCGCTCTGATACCATGTTAAGATTTCAGAGAGACAGACCATTGACCCACCATTAGCAATATCGATATTGTCCCCAACTTAACCACATGTTTAGGAGGTGTGAAGTTTTATACAAAAGGTCTTGATATTATTAGGAGTTGAACCATTTACTATATGAGACTTTCTATTATGTTAAGTTTTCGATGTGGGACTCGTGTATTCTTCAACACGCACATCTATATAATTCGATATTAAAAACACATTCAACTCATTGAAATAGTATACAACACTAGTAAAGTTCACAGAGTAATTGCAAATAAGATAATTGAATTTGCTAGTGTTCTAGCCGAATCATGCCTAATTCGGGCATGCTCCATCAACGATATCTTTGGATTTTGAGAGCTCGCTTAGGAGTGTCCGAGCCTCGCAAACAAGCAATTTCAACCAAAAAAAAAAAGGAGGCAACAAGAAACTGACTATTACTTCTTCAAAGGAGATCCAGACTGCTATGAGACTTCTTGTCTGTTACCAAAGTTTACTACTAGCTCTTGAAGAGTTAGGGTTGTTTCTATGTTTTGTGTTTAGGAGGGGGGTGTGAAGATATTAGGCTTAAGTACTGATCTTGTTCAATCATGGTTGAGATTGAAATGGAATGGAAATATATGTTTGGCTCAAAAAAGAAGGAAAAACGAGTGGTTTCGAACACAAATTATCATTATTGTGTGGTAGGGTAGTAATAAAATTGTGTATTTTGCAATACTCATGAATTGGCCCAAAGGTCGTTTGTCTTATCTGAAGTACCCAAAACAACCGCGAGCGAGTTTTTTTTATAGTTACATTAGAGGAAAGAAACCCCACTAGGGTTCGATCCTGGTGCCATGGGAGGAGGGGGAATCCACCACCACAGCGAGCAAGTTTAACTACAATGAATACCATCAACAACAGCGTGGAGGATCCAAGTGTCTAGCACTTGACGATCAACAAGTCTGGCCTTCTTGCATCGAGCGAAAATAGCCCAATTGATTACAACATTCTCTGTATGCCTTTTCATAGACGCGCGAGTACCTTTCGTATCTACCGTTACTATTGTCGTTAATAAAAACATCTCCAATAATAATAGCAAACCAAACTCTTTAAATTGGAGTTTGTTGATCAGGCCGTTGGCCTAGTCCGTGACATTGGCCTTCGAGGGCGACCACCCTAGGCCTCAAACCAAGTGGGCGCCAAAATTTGTATATAAATGCTCAAGGCTATGCTACAAGTGATTTTTGAGAGCCTAACGATACAAGGTCCCAAATAAAAACCACTCCAAGTTCTTTAACTGTGCAAAGGCCCACATTTAATAGAACTACTATACTAAAGCCAGATTTCACGTGTACAAAAAATTTATGCTTTCTTTCTTATTAAACTACGTTTGCATATAAATGAAAAATGTGGCTGCTCTAAAGAAGAAGCGGGCTTTAGATGTTGTTGGGTTTCTTTTTGGGAGTTTCACTAAAACACCTAAAATGGGGGCTGAAATTATAAAAAAACCCAACACTCAAAACATTTTATAAACACACCCAAAACTCATCATTACACACACTCAAAATCCATTGATAAACACACCCAAAAAATATACAATTGTTGATTTTGGGTGTGTTTCTATGTTTAAAAAGTGTTTGGGTTTTTTTATAAATACATGTCTAGGATTGGGTTTATTTATAAATTTGTATTTCTTTTTTGTTGTTGTTGTTGTAGTTGTTCATTATTAATTATTTTATTTATTTATAAACTGAACTTAGTAATTTTTTAAAAAACAATTACTCTTTTATTATTTTTAAAACTTTAATGAATTTGTGAACGATGATTTAACGGAATGAACAAAATTAGATAAGGTAATAAAAACGAAGGTAAATTGACCAAATTAAAAATACAGAAACTAAATTAACCAAATGAGAGACCATTTTGACATTTAATCCTTTTCTTTTTAATCACATGAGTCAGTCACTCAGGTCAGTGGAGGAACAACGGTTAGAAGATTTGAAAATTGAAAAGCGAAGTGAAATCTAATACATGTTGAAAAAAGCACACGGCGCACCGCTCCTTGAAAAAGATGCCATACCAAAGCTCTTAAAAGCAGTATGTTAACTCATGACCATTCTTATCATTTCCTGCTCTGCTCTGCTCTCACGTCTCACCCCCAGTTCTCCCAACACCTAACTTATATAGTTTTTTGCACCATTGCAGCCCAAAAAGAAGAGGCAGAAAAATGATAAAAGCTGTGAAGAAGCTCAAGTTTTGGTCAAGAAAGAAGAGAAAAAAGAAAACTCACCACCACCAACCCTATTATCCTCCTCCACCACCAACACGACCAGCACCGCTGCCACCCGGACCCAGGCATCATTGCTGCTCATGCTCATCCTCCACCTACTCAACTCAGCCCTCAGCTCCACCCTTACCTCCATGGCTGGATTCCGAGTACACCCATGAGGCTCTTTTTGCACCTCTAGTCCAACCTGCCCCAGAATTTGGCTACCAAGCAGATCCAAGACAACAAGAACCTACTATGAAAACCAACGCAGGCAGTGGCACCACCAGCATCTATCCAACCTCATCATCTTATCAGCAATACATGGTTCCAGATCCTGTGTATGGAGTACCAGTTGCACAAACACAAACACAAACAACAAGAGCCACAAGAACGGAGAGATCCGCTGCTGCCGGGGTCTTCGGTTGTGTTGTTGACTTTGGCATCCGTTTCTTTCGTTGTTTCTGTCCCTGCTTTCACATTCGAGAAGTAGTCCTCCAGTAATATGATATATCAGTTGCATTGTATGAGACATATAGGCGTTTCTCAGTGGAATATAATGTTAATTTCTGGTACAGATTGATTATAATAAAAATATATTCCGATGTGTTTAGTTTCTGGTACAGATTGAGGATTAATCCCCTGTTATCCGGAGTTGAGTTTAGTTTCAAATGAAAATTCAGCTGTACCAGAAAGGAGGCGGTCACTTCTTTACCTTGCACTCAAGCTGAACCTCAGCAACCCTCCGAGCTGTATCTTGTGACTGTGAAAAGAGCAGGTCAAGTTCTTCCCTTGGTTTTGTAGCATCTTTAAGTTTCTCCTGCCACACAAAACATGAGAGAAGAGATACCATCTCTTCCACCTTTATGTCCTTGCAACCACCATTCAACTCCACAACATCATCACTTGTAACATATCTGCATTTCAATTCAAGCCACCCAATTCATGATATAGAATTTCTGGTTTTAAAATAATAAAGTAACATGGAATTATGAAAAGTTTGCCAATCCTTAAAATTTGTCTCTAGCTTGATAAGAATGACAAATTTTGAATTTTATTCTAAATAACAAGAAAAGGGTAAGATATATCAGTATTAAAGAAAGAAAGAAAAAAGCATTATGGTTACGATAGAAAGTGAGGAAAGGCCACAAGAAGTAAAGTGAATGAAAGTGAGGGAAGGCCACAAGAACATAGCAGCCCCAGGTGAAAACCACTGCTGCATGACAGAATATGAAAGGAAATATGTCCAAACTCCTAAAGATTACGGAAAAAGAAGGGGAAGCTTCATCATTCCCAGCACATTCGATTGACACAAACCTGCCAGGTCTCAGAATTGGTAAGCAGTACTTTGGAGAAAGCACAATATCACGAAGTTCCTTTTTCGAACTCTTGTACTGCTGTAATAGATTGTAATAATTCTTTACACTATCTTCTTCTTCAATTATAATTGAATCCCTTTCTTGCTCAAGGTCCTTTCTTTGTTTCTGCAATAGTAACATAATTCACAAATAGAAGTGATTGCATCAGTAATTTCTTAATAGATTTCTTTAGATGGTTCCAGCTTGAAACTGATAGAATGACAAATTGCCAACAAATACAAACAAATCTCAACCAAGATACAAAGAGAAGAAAGACAAATTACAATTACAAGATTACTACCCTAGTCAAAGCCAACAAACCTCAAGATTGGGGATGGCACGATCAGCTTGAAACTGGTAGAATGAGTTTGGCCTCATTTTAGTCTTTTGTTTTTGGCTCCTATTGGAATGAAGCTTGGGTAGACTATTTGAGTAACCTTTTATTAATTTTGTGCTTATAAGCCTTTTGTTTATTTGTGGGTTTTTCTTGGAACAAACACTCGAGTAGCTCTTTTAACCAATGTAGAGGGGGATACAAATTTTATGAATACGCAAGTTTTTTTTTTTTTTTTTTTCTTTCCGTGACACTTTTAATATTTATATAGAGAAGTATTTAGCTAGTTGATTACAAGCTTAAAGATGGCAAAAATGTTTTTGCAGCCCCCTTCTTTCAATGTTTTTTGAAAGTAAAAGTTTCATATTATAGATGGCTGCGTAATGGATTTCACGTAATTCAAAACTGTTAGCTACTCAATAATACAAATACACAAGCAGAGCACCCGACACTCTGCTCTGTATCATGTCCTGTTGCTAATAAAACCTTCATTCACATCCCTAAATCAGCTAAATTAAACAAGTCACATTCTTTGCGGACATAACCTTCTTCTAAACTTTCTTAGAGATGAATATCACGTGGGTAACCTCCTGCTTTTATGATCTCGTTTGTGATCACGAGATCTATGATCTGCATGGTGCTTCTGGTTGTGTTTCCTTCCAGATTCGTTGTTATCTTCAGATGAATCTGTGGCCTCCAATCTATTGGAATGATTCCTATGGCTTGATTGGCTGCTACACAGTGATCTGTTTTCACTGTCACGCTTGCGATCGTCGTGTGTAGACTTTCTCCTTGATTTCCGGTGTTTTGAATGAGCTACCTTGTCAGATTCATATTGATCTTCCTGGCCAACTTTATCTTCTGAATCAAAATCACTTGATTCACCTCTTACATTATATGAACCTGGCCTGCCAGACTCATAACTCTCTGAACTTCCAGCTTTCGTTTTAGAATTATGAAATATCTCAACAGAACCATCTTCGGGTTCCCAGCGATCCTGTTTGTCCATGTGTACATCAGATATGTATCTTATATCAAAATCATGTGATCTATATCTCTCACCATCTTGACCCAAACTGCTGGACTCGTTGGTTCCATCTGACTTCAATTTTTTAACAAGAGCCCCTGCTTCTCTCATCTCTAGGCTCAGACGATCATGTCTATGTTCCAAATTCTGTGTCGGGAATCGATCCTCATCTGAAATATCTGACACTTCATCCAAGCATTTTGATCGTTTCCTAGCATGACTAAGGTTTCTTTCTGCATCATTTTCCAACAAATCATCACTAAGTTCATAACTACAAGACCTGGTGGTTCTCCCCCTGTGATTTAAGAATTCAGAAGCTTTGCTAATGTGTCCGAATCTTTTCCTTCTACTGTGGTGCTTGCCACCTTTGCTGTTGCTGTCTGACCACTCTTCATCCATATCATGAGCTCTGTTCTCGCTGTCATTATGATTATCTGGACATCCCACTTTCCTCTTGTGTCCTGAACTTTTCCTCTTGTCATGGTATGCATCTCTGTCTTTGTCCCTATCTGACCAATACCTATCAATTTCATGATTTTTGTTCTGCCAATCTCCATATTCATCCAGGAATTCTCCTTTCCGCTGTTGGCTTGAGCTTTCCCTGGTGCAACCATGCTGTGCTACTCTGTTCCGTGCCCTATCAGACAAATCTCCGCCAGATTCAGTTTCATAGATTTTGTTCTTGTAGTCCCTGTTTCGTTGTCTTGAGCTTTTCCTTGTGTGACCATGGTGTCTATCTCTGTCCTCTTCCCTATCCAACAACTGTCTATCAAATTCAGTATCAGACCTTCTGCTCTTCCTACAATGATAGTCTTTTAAGTTCTTATTCTCTTCACATCGATCCTCATCAAGAGTTTTTCCTCGATGTCTATCATCACCTGTATCCCTCTGTCGTTCTGCATCCTTTAAAACATAATCTTCACTGTCATATCTTCTACCAGAACCAATGAAACTCGAGTAATCCCTCCCTCTAGATCTAGATCTAGATCTTCGCAACCCGTACCTGCCATGAATCTGGAAACTATAAGAATCTATCTACAAGGAAAAGAAGAAAAACACAACATAGAGAACAAACTCTCTTCTCAACTGCTGCACTGTTTTGCAATGCAAACAATATAGAAAAGTTGGAAGACAAAGACCAAGAAGTTCTCACAAATCTATTGTATTGTTCACCTGACCAATAAAAATGAGGAGCATTAAATCCAACACCTAACATCAAATTATGCCTTCACAGTAATTCATATAAATATAAAATAGTTCAGCTTGTAGATCACACAAACTTCATCCAAATTAACAAATGGGCACTTCAATCACAGGGAAAAATTTAGCACATTAAGCCTGAATGAGGGCAGTTGTAGTTTCACATTACCATCATCTGCTGCTTTCTAAAAAAATTGGTTCTTCCCTCACATGCAAAACTGCATATGGTTGGGACATGCAATATAACTGATGATATTTTTATGTGCTATATAAACCCGGGCATCAAACAAGATAAATTTTAAAACTGTCACATGCAGATTGGTCTGTCTTTTCTCGCCCTTTGTTGATATAAATTGGGAGGTTGTAGTTCTGGGAATTGAACTCAAAATCTGCCAATCTAATACCATAATAAGTTTTGTTTGTTACCTAATATTTCCAAAAATTTAAGCTGCTGCTAAATGAAAAGAATACCTCTCAGAATCTGCCATTGTCATCTTGCTAGAGTTCCTCAGCTGTCCAAAATTTTCCTCTACCATCTGTTTCTCGTCTGCATCAGAATAACCAAATAAAGCGACCATTTTCCTCACCCAATATTTTGGGGCCGGTCTATCACTATCAGCCCATTCATAGTCTCCACCAGGATTGCGGAAACAGTGGATAAAATTGCAAGCTGTACCATGGGAACAATTCTGCAAGATGAAACAAGAAAGATTACAAAAGAGAATGGTCAGACTTCAAAGTTAGAATTGACATATAAAAGCCAAAGCTTATTTTATTACTCCAAAACAAAATTCTGTCTAATTTATTCAATGTAAAAAGTACAACCCAATTTAACACCTACAGAGAGTACGACTCAAATAGAAAAGTGGGAAAGGACTGTACCTTGTACCTCGACTTCATATATTCCCCACATATGGCAACCTTCCATCTGGTCACATTGATAAATTCGCAACTTATCTGTTAAAAACAATAACTAGGTCAACAAAACCACCCCCAAAGCTGAAAGTTCGGAAAAATGTAAACAAAGTCAGGAAATTAACATGTTATGGAAGTGAAAGATAAATAAAGAGATTTGAAAATGAAATAAAGAGCTGATGGCTTCAGTGTACATTTATTATTCAAAGCCTAAATTTACAATATACACCTCAATAAAACATAGCTCCTTTAAAGTAACATACTTTTCAGTGGCTGTGTGTGCATGTCCAACAGATGCCTATGTATGGCTTCATAGAAATGCCAAATTCAAATTCAATTTATCCCTTCATTCAATAGCAATGTGTAAAGTATGAAACAACGAGAAATTATATATATTCATTTGAAATGAAAAGCCATATCAAATATGTACCAGCACACCTAGCAATGCAATTTTTGCAATGGGATTCAAAAAATCATAGAATATATAGAAAAAAATATCTGTGAAAAGGGGATCCATCCATCAATACATAATAGGATCTACTCATCTGTACAGTTTTTGACTTGAGTTGTGATTATGCATCTTAACTATAGCAGATATCTCATATTCTCAGCAAGAACAAAAGTAAATCAAACCATTATTACTGAGTAGGTACATGATATGCCTTACAGGTAATTCAACAACAACATAAAATTACTATTGCCAAATTGAATTTCTCTCTCTTTTTTCTTATGATTTTATTAAAACTAATTAACCAATTAAATAAACACAAAAATCCAGCACAACCAAGATGAATTACAGTAAAAGGGATATCCCGACATGTTTTAGACAAAGAAACATATAGCAAGGCTGGGAAATAAGTTAGTTAAACTGGTAGCCAGCTATAATTAGAAGCAAGCAGACAACTATGTAAATATCAACTCAATTACATTAAACTTCAAATAAGCACACTGCCATAAGCACTCATTCAAACACAAAGGAAATGCAACACCTGCTTCCCAGCAAAGTAGCGACCATTGATAGATTGATGTGCAAGCACAGCTGAATCCAGTGATTTATAGTGTATGTACACGTTTCCCCTCAAGTGGAATGCACCATTTCTGCACACCTGACACAGATATTCACATGTCACTGTAAGATTATCAACAGAGAAATTGGATGGCCTGAATAGGAAGGTAATGTCCAAATGTATTGGGAAGGAGGGGTGGGGGGGGAGAGAGAATTTTTAAAAGGGCTCCACAGGGTAATTACATATAGAACAATCACTATGCATACGAGTTGGAAAAGGGTAGGGACAGTTTTAGGTTGACATGTTACCAATCAAATGTAGCTAGACCAGTGGACACAACTTGTCCCCTGTAAATTATGTTTCTTATAAACAACTAAAAAACAATAAGTATTCTGGTAATCACAAGGAAGCTGTCAGAAACCTTGAAATTTATAATTTCACCAAACTTCAAGAACTCTGTATGCACATCCTCATAAAATTCTTCATAACAGCGCTCTACCTCCTCATCAGTATGCTGAAAAGAGGGAAAAATATTAAACCAGAAAAATTATACTCATCAACTTACACTAAAATTAAAAGAGACAAATGGCCAGTCCCAATATTAAATTTTGTCAAGATACACAACAGGTGAGCCATGCATCCTCCACCAAAAGACCTTCAAACATATGTCAACTAAGAAAAACAACACGCAAAATACTCTAGAGCTAATAATGGGTTACCATGACATTAACCAAAACCAATATGTATATACCAAATAATACCAAACTGATAACAACCACAGTTCCTCCCACCTTGGACTTTAAGAAAAGCATGCACTTCTTAACACAAGTTTCACCACATTGAAAGTCTTCATCTAATGCACTAAACTGAGAATTGTCAACTCCAGGCTTAAAAT